CTTATAGGATGGTTGATAAAATGTGACGGTAGCCGAGTAGGATTAGAGATTCGAGTAACAACAGAAACAGTTACGGGAATGGACTCTTTGTTTCAAAGATAAAGCCGCTTCCTTCCAAAGGGAGAACCTTATTCAAGACAAATTTCAGTAATCCTAGTGAGCAAGCGATGAAACGAAAGGATTTGGCATCAAAATTAACAGGTTTATCGTGACCAATCGCAATCCACACATTACAGTAGATATAACGCGCCTTGCATTTGCCCAAATGTTTACGGAAAGAAGTATGCTTGGCAGTGTCCACCGGATGCCTACAAAAAACGTAACTGGTAGTGTGCTCTAGAGAATTCCCTTTAAAAGGTAGGATACCTGCCAGATTTCGACCTAACGAAAATACTACATATTGGAGTGCTGCCATGGACGGTATTTGTACAGGCATTTAGCACTCAAATAATCCATAATCCTTCAGCAGTTAAAAGCCACTGGTTGGAAGTCCTGGGTGACACAGTTCCGGGTCACAATGAATACACTCGCTAATTAGACCTTCACGCACAATGTGTTGCTCAGTTAAAGGCTACAACATGAGAAGAGCTGAACGTTTTGTTAAACAGCATTAAATAAGCAACCTCTCTAAGGATTTGTTTCGGTATATAGCATCGAGTTTTCTCTCAAACCGTCATTACACAGATAGGGCATGTCTTGCAATTGGTTTTCGGTCACAGGCGCCCGGTTGCCGACTCCTCCTGAGAAGGATGGCTTAACCTGATATCACTAAGAAAAAATGGTGCGAAATTTGGCCGAACTGAAGCCAAAAATTCAAACTTATATAACGTATTAGGCAAATTAGACCGAGTAGGATAAATTATACGCTCGCCGTAGCGGCATTGTAGTTCAGAACGTGAAACCGTTGGCTCGAGCCGCGCCGTGATCGCCGTGATTATCACGGTTAAGATCTCTAATATTGTGATCTTAGCATTTTGAAGAGGATGTGTCCACTAACAAGTATCGTGGTTTGTATGGTACTGTCTTTCGAAAGCACTAGAACATCTTTTAAAGGCATAGTCATAGAGACGGATATTAGTTTGGAAGACTTTAATTCCAACTGCCTATAAACACTGCTTATATATAATTCATGAATCCAAAAATGGGTGTACAGTAAATTATTAAATGTAAAGGAAACTAAATTGGAGAAGAACGTTGAAAACTTGATCCTTTTTTCAACTACTAGAACATGAATTCGGGAGTCATTTAGAAAAAGAACATATGTACACGAGCTTGACAAAACGGTTTGGCGTAACCTGTATCAGGGATTAGCGAGATACCCTACTTCTGAAGTGTTATAATTTTCATGGTTATGCAGAATTGCCACTAAAGGCAAACATTTTTTCCGACTCGAGGATGAATTCAAAAAGTTTATTTAGTGCTGTGAACGTTTGGTCGCCTACTGCGTGATATTGCGGCATTTTGAAGGAAGGCGTCCGACTGGATTCAAACTTGCAAAACATTTTCGGTAAACAAAGTTGGTTCTCTCCACTGGCCCGACTCTTTTTTGCCGGCAGACAGCTTTTGTAAAGGTTTGATTCCATCGAAGTGGCAGTCGTTTGGTAGCTGGATAAATAATGCACGGCTTTTGGGTTTACTCAAAATATCTGAAATCGTGCAACTTGCTCGAAGGTCGCCTGCTGTGAAAAAAAAACCGCAAATTACCTCCTAAAACCAAATCAGAAACTCAAAGTATGCAAAGAATAATCCACAGAAAGATGTGGTAGAAGCGTCAGTTGTTTGTGAATTTAGCAACATTCCTAACTATGTTCCAAATGTTGAACTGACGATAAAAAAATGAAAAGTCAGTGAGTTTTTAACTGGTGGAAGAGTCTTACTTGCTAGAGGGAATGAAAGATGTAATTCAATGATGAAAAAGCGACGTGTGCTTGGCTGGAGGAAAGGTCTTCAGCGATAGAAGGAATGATATATGTAATTTGGTACCCAAACGAGTAAGCTCTTTTTGCTATCGGGCTGTGGGTACCAGTAACCTTTTCGTGCCTAAAATTGACTTGATGTAATACGTACAGCTACAAGTAGGTAGAATGAAAGAAGTAAAACGACAACAAAATATATAATTGTCTTGGGTAGAGCACCCTCACGGAGCAGAATATGATGTGCTGATGACATATCCCCATCAGTATTGCCTTAAGAACACATACACACGTTTAATGAATAGGTCCTATTAAGTATAAGCCGCACCAAAACACGTAGGGTGTTTGTGAGTTAAAGTGAGGTGAGAGCAAACTTGAAATTAACTGAATCAGTCACATTAATGTACGAACAATCGTTTTTCTGAACTATTTATATCCAGCTGCACTATGCTTCACTGCAAAATTCACAATCTCCGATCCTAATGAACTCGTTGCGTCACTCTCTGTGATCAGAGTTGGAATTTACAGTGAGGAACCTTTATGAAATCACCAGGCAGGACAATGGAATATGAAAGCCCCATTTGGAAGACCGGAGGTCCTGCGCTGAATTCCAAGGGGAGCAGCGGTCTCTGTGTACTAACTCTAACCCAAACACAGCCCTACCTATAACCTAACTGTAGTCATAACCAACGCTTTACACCCACCTATAATTTCCAGGACATAAGTACCGAACCGCATATATTATGAAGAGGTTCCTATTCTCGTGTCTCAACACGAAGACAACAAGTGACGTTTGTTTCGCATGTCAGTAGCAGTAGCAATCCGCCTAAATTTCGACTGGTTAAATGTAATTAATAAATTCAAACGGATCAGCGACTGGTGTACGAAGTTCGCCATGAATAGTTGTTGTCGTATGCAGGTACAGAGATAACGTTTCCTTTGTTTTCTGGGAGTTTTAGGGCACATAAGCAAGCAGACCCGCGCCTAAACAGTCTAGGTTTCATAGCTCCATACGTCCCAGGCGTCGACAGTGGCTTGCTCTTCTCCAGGCTACATGACACACGCTTAAAACGCTAGTTTCACGGTCTCGTTTTCACTCTCCTCCATCTGTCCCGACTAAGCAACTTCCAGCATTTTTTGCTCCATTCAGGAAAACCGTGTGAAATTTCTTGCATGTCTAGTTGCTAACGCGATGCGGTGACCGCTTGCCTATGCTTAACGCCTGTGGCCGACGTCTGGAATCACATTTCCATAGAGAGGATAAGAGGAGGTATTTCTGCAGAGTACCGGGGGGAGAAAGGTACTCGAAAATTACACCGAAGGAGTCAGCATTAAGTCAAAATATGCTACCAATCAGTCACCTGGCAGCCGAGACAGACACGTCGGAATGCAGCAGAGGAATTTGCTTATGAGGCTATCAGTGATGTAGGTGGGTGGGTGTTTAGCCAATCACTATTCGATACTGTCTTGAACAATCTCTGCCCGCAGCAATGCTTATCACACAAGGGTTTTATTTTCTACTTGTACCGGTGAACATAATCTGCATTGAAGGGAGCGGCGGCGGACTTTGCGTACTGGGTGCTGCCTGAAGGTGGAGTTACGTCTTTTTACGCGCAAGTTAGTATGCGAGAATGGCGCTGCGTTGGAAGGCTGTGGTGCATGCAAATGGGAAGGTGTATACTTTAATGTAAACTTAAACAGATCTCGAGTTGCGGTTTGGAGACAGAAAGGTTGGAGTTCTGCCACAAGGACCTGAGCGAACATCGATATATGTTGGGGGAAAATGGGTCGTTAAAGTTAGTGTAAACATTTATGCAAGCATTTTATTGGAATGGCGTCGAACTCGCGTGAATATCAAGACAGTGTCTACAACTAATACAATCGAAATCCAGTTGTTTGAACTGAAAGCTGAATATTCATTGACTTGTTCAAACTAAGAATGCCAAAAAATCCGATTTCTCCCCGTTAAATCATTAATTCATTTGTCATTGATACCCGTTCCTATCTGGTATATGTGTTGGGTGGATAAGGACGCGACGTTCGGGTTGCAAACAAGATAATATTTTTAATAAATTTATCAATTAGTTTAAAGAAAAAGTTATCAAAATATCATTTCGGCAGGTTTGAATAATTCCTCTGACTCATATGAGGTTATCATTTTAGGTATTTTTAAGTGTTTTACAGAGTGGGCTGAAATCATGTAAAATACCCGAAATTGCGATTGATAATCCCTCGCAAACCGATACTAACGCATGTACAGAAACTTCGAAATAATAATGCACTATCTTAGGCGAATTCGTAACTTAAAAGACATCTTAAAAGTTCTAATTGCTTGTTTAGAAATTCATTTTTAAAGAAGCCTCAGGTTCCAACAACGTGGAAAACAAACCAAACATGTAACTATAATCTCCGGGTGAAATCATGACCATACCATTTTCTTTACATCAAAAGAACTTTGCTTTCGTCAAATTTCTTTATAGGTATTTCAGAAGTTGGATAACAATACGTTTCAAATCGCCCTTTAATTTCCGCGAAAGTTTCCACGATTGCCGGTGTTTTCGAGCTTTCGTCCATAAACGTAGACTATTTTCGACGTGTATTGCACAACGCTTAAAATAAGATACTCCTTAAAAGCGTTAATATAAAACGTGACTTTTTGGATATTATTTCTTATGAAAAGAGCCACATGGGCTCTGTTTATAAACCATCAGTAATGCCTGTGTTGCGTTGATCTAGTCCACGAACTGGTATAGAGCATGCACTGCACAGCCCGTTTAGAAGACAAAATACCTCCTACTCCCCTTTTATTCTTGTTTCCAATCTTTTTTTGCTTTTTACTCCTTCATTCTCTTACTAATCTTCAAGGCCATAATTTCCGCCTCATTTCCTACTGGGGACTATTAAACAGTCCTTATATGATACACCAAATGAATGATAACACTAATAACACAAGTGTTCAGAAGTCAATATATGTCTCCCCGTTCGAGCATTTTTTTCATATATTTAAAAATAGAAGCTAGTTTCTCCATACTCAACGTCATATTTTCATCCCTTTTGATGACAGGCCACGACTCTCGCTCTTGGGCCATGTACATTGACCGGAAACGCAGCTGGTTTCTGCACAAGGGCGAACACTTTGAACGCACCGACGGTGGTATCCAGGTGGGCAGTGTGCTGGGCTTGCGGCTAGATTGCGATCGGGGCTCTCTCTCCTACTACCTGGACGACGAACCCCACGGGCCGATAGCCTT